CTTCATCCCAACTGATGCCCTTCTTCCTGCATGCCGGTAAGGATCAAAGCACGGCCAATATTAGCCCAAGTGTTAGGCTATCATTCCTGCTAATAGCGATCTGCGAGTTTAGTGCAAAAACGCATGATCGCACCTGAGAGCCTGGTGCGTCCCAGCCTAGGTTATTTACTGTGCGTCATAAGCTTGAGAAGCTGCCAGTCAAACTAAAAAATTGTTGCAGAAGTCGTTTCCAGCAAAGATAGCGTATAAAATATCATTTGTGCTCATCTTGCTCGTTGTTCCAATACGACTGGCATGCGCACTTAGTCCTGATATGCTTCTCCTGGACAATATCCTTTCTCTTTTGGTTGTGCTACTGACCGGCGTGCATTTCTTATTTTATGCAAGGTTTCAAATATACCTGCTCTTTCTTATGGCGTTTGATTCATGTTTTGCTGAAGATTTGCGTGTGTGAGTGTGTGTGTGTGTGTGTTTGTGTGTATGTGTGCTAGGCGAGCTGAAAAAAAATCGCGTACGGGCTAAGTTTGTAGGCTCTGGATTATCAGGTCTTTGTTTTCCGCTTCTTCTACTACATCGTTTAATTTTCATGTTCCTCACATCTTAAAGTTATACTTTCAAAATGACGTTTAGAGCACTAAAGTTCATCGGACCATTTGTTTTGATGATTTACACAATACTGTCGCGTGATCTGAGTCGTTTCATACTTATTTATTCGATATTTCTCATCGGATTTTCGCAGTGTTAGTTTTCTCTGTGTTTTTGTACGCTTTTTTAACAGAGTAAATAAAAGTTCAACAATTTTAGGCATTTTCTGCGTTTTGTATTTTTTAAACACAAAATTTCTGTCGTTTTTATGCGTTTTTTGCAGCTATGCAATGCGGAAAACGCATATTGACGAGAGGTTGCCTGTGTGTGTGTGTGTGTTTATGTGTGTGTGTGTCTGTGTGTGCGCAGAGCCTCTGTACCGATTTTTCATCTCGAGACCTACAAAATCTACAGGGCTGAAACTTTGGGGCCTTAATTTACATGCACATACGGACCCCCATCCCAAAATGGGTGCTTTTACCCACGTGAGGGTCCGCCAAAGTTTTTTATGGGCAAGCTGCTAACTCGGGAAACAGAAATGATTGGGGGCTGAAATTTTAAGGGGATGTTTCCTGTCCAAGTAGGTGTTAATGAGCTCAAATCCAACCCCCGGGTAAACGTAGTGCCCGCGTACGGGCCCGCCAAAATTTTTCCCGGATAAGTTCATAACTCGGGGATCTGAGATGCTAGAAGACTGTAATATTAAGAGAGTGTTCCACGTCCAAGTAAGTCTCAACGAGCTCAAGCCCAGCCCTCGGTCATGTGTGGTACCCGAGTGCGGACTCGTGAAAAATTTTTTTCAGTAAGTTGCTAACTCAGGAGCCAGGAAAGGTAGAAAGCTGGAATTTTAAGGTGGTGTTCCCTGCCAGTTTTGGCGGCCAGTCTTAATTTGTTTAGCTAGAAGGGTTTGCCGAAAAAGCCGATGCCGGTAGTAACAAAAACTGCGGGGAACTATGCAAAAAACGCATTTTCGCACGGACAGCCTGTGCGTTCGCCAATTATTTATTTGTTGTGTGGAGAATATTTTCCCTTGAGGTCTCCCCCAGCCAGAAAAAAAATTTGATAAAACATTTTCAGCTTTTTATGTAATTTTCAACGCTTGTGCACGAGCTCATAGTAAAAAGACTGGAAATGTAAATATTCTGGACACTCCTTTTGAAGCTATCATGCGATTATTTATCATGACAATCGGAGAATTTACAATTTTCTACAGATCGCTCAACGCGTGCGAGGAGAAACTTATGCAAGTGATTGGCAAAGTGAGTCCTTAACTGTTTGGGAAATTTCAGCTTTGGCGAAAACTTCGAGCTTTTGACGATTACAAATCGACCTCAAAGTTTAAATCAGTGGTGGAAGGATAGTGATTCATTTCGACGTAGTGGTGCAGCAAAGACGAATGTTTGCAGAAAGCGTCAAAATCATCAGTTTGAGAATCAGTAACAACACGCATCAGAGGGCGGACGCAGTTTTGCATTTTATGGTTAGGCTATTGCAGTTCATAGAAGAGCCAATCGTAAAAACTTGTAATGTGCTGCTTGTTTTGTCCAGAATTTTTTGCTTTAAGCTAAGCTAAAGTTGACGGTTACACTTTAAGACACAGTGAAGTACGATACTGAGTCGGATCGTCTTCAGCATAGTGAATCGAGCTCTTAAAATTTCGGTTTCATTGGCTGCCTAGTTTTGGGGTTATGATTCCACTGCGATCACAGGTCAGAAGTCGCTGGTTATCATAGAATGAGGTCCAAAAGCTGATTCAAGTTTATTCGCCT